TCCAGCTGCTCCTGGTATTCCGTAAAAAGTCGCTGGAAACGAAGGTTCTGCCCGATGACAGGCAACAGTTCCTTGAGCAGGTCCCGTTTCCTTAAGCCCTGCATGAAACAAACACACAAACACACACAAATAAGCATGTCACTGTTGTGGCACTGTTGAGCTGGCAGCAGACTTAGACAGTGAGGAGGTTGGAGAAGAACGTGGGCCAGTCCTGGAGTCTGGGGAAGGCTCTGACCAGTGCTCTGTGTTGGAGGCAGAGATGGGGCCAGGGCCATCTGGGAGTCGGAGATCAGTGGGGCAGAAGAACAGCTGGAGCCTGTTCCCAATGTGCACATGCACAGAGCTGCCAGAAGAAGGGAACAGCTAAGGAACAAGGGTCGACTTGGGAGTAAAGCTAACAAAGAGGGGTTTGTTGGGACGAAGAGTCTGCTTCGTGATTTTGTCAAGCCTGGGTCAGTATAGTCATGGAAATCAAAGTCAGAGAAGCAGGGTGGACACTGCGCTGAGCTGTTCCCTGTTGCTTGTCTGCATGGAAACACCCCATTTCTATAGAAAGAGACTCGGGAAGAAAGCTTCTACAGTACTTTCCAAAACGAAAAATCTGTTCCCAAGACACTGTACGACAGAGGTAGTCCTTGACTTACAACAGTTCGTTTGAGTGACCATTCGAAGTTACAACGGCACTGAAAAACGTGGGACGTAGGACCGTTTTTCACATTGATGACCCATGGTCACCCGATCAAAATTAAGATGCTTGGCAACTGACTCCTATTTGTGACGGCCGCAGCATCCCTGGGGCCACGTGGTCCCCTTTTGCGACCTTCTGACAAGCGAAGTCAACGGGGAGAGAGGGAAGCCAGGTTCATTTAAGAGCTCAGGTACTAACTTAATGGCCGCCGTGACTAAAACAAACTGTGGCAAGGAATGTCGCAAAATAGGACAAAATCCATTCAACAAAAAATGTCTCCGTCGGCAACAGAAAATTAGGGCTGAATTGTGGTCGTAAGTCGAGGACTATTTGTATGTCACATGTTCCATTCTGTGTGACTAGAAAAGTGAGCAAGATGGAGGGAGGCGGTCAGGCTGATGCAACTGAGTTAGGGAGGGAGGGAAATACAATTTTTATGTGTCTCCTCCCCTCATCCCCCCCCCCCAAAAAAAAGAAGAAGAAGAAGAAGCAACACTTACCACGACAGTTGATTCCCACTGACTTCCAGAGGAAGAGTGGACAGGACCTAACAGATCCTTGCATAATTCCCTCAAGCGATATTCAAAGCCTGAGGAAGACAGTAAAGAAGAAGACTCACAAAGGAGGAAATACTCTGCCCAACTAATTTAGAGACAATAGGTGCCTGGGGTGTAATCCCCAAAACGTCTGGAGCACCATTTGAATATCATCGGCATTGACAAAAATCCCAGTCGGTCAATTGCAAAAGGCAGCCTTTGCTTGGAACAGCTGACATCCTGCAATGAGACCTTTGAGACAATCAAACAGAAACGTTGGCCTGTCCTAAGTCCTCGGGGAGGACTCAACAGGTGGGTAAAACTGTCCAATCCAGGCCAGACATCTGGCTGATTGTGCAATGAAAGCATAATCGTAAGAATCCCCAAAGATCTGGAACACCATCGGCATTGACAAGAATGTCGGTTAATTACAAAAGGCTGCTTGACTTGGAACAGCTGACAGCCTGCAGTGATACCTCTAATCCCCTCAAACAACATTTGCCTATCCCAAGTCCTTAGGAAGGACTCAAAAGTTGGACAAAAACACCAAATCCAGTCTAAACATCTGGATGACTGGGCGACCAACCATAATGCTAGCATTGACAATGTCTCCATCGGTCAATTGCAGAAGGCAACTTTGCTTGGAACAGCTGACATCCTGCGATGATATCTTTGATATTATTAAAAAAACATCTGCTTATCCCAGGTCCTTAGACTCGATACTTAGAACAAAATGCAGACTGAACATCTCTGTATAGACAACCATAATAAGAATCCTAAAACAATTAGAGCACAACCGGAACACTACTGGCATTGACCATATTCCCATTGGTCAATTGCAAAAGGCAGCTTTGCTCAGAACGGCTGACCTCCTGCAACGAGACTTTTAACGCTATCGACCAAGCGCATGATTCCTTACCTTCCTTAACCAGGTACCGTGCATAAATAAGCAGCCAGTGACGATATTCATGACTAGACTGTAAAGCCAAGGCAGAGGCCACCTGACTCTCCAGGTACGCTGTGGTGGTTTCTTGCTGCACCAAATGAGGCATGGAGAACAATTTGGCTGCCTGCCGCCCAGAGCTGTGGGAAAAGAACAAAGGGGAGGCAGTTTTTAGGAGTTGAGAATGGAAGGAAGTGCAGGAGATGATCAGGCTGAGCCCGAGGGAGGAGGTCAAACACGTTATAAGTCCCTGTGCACCCACGAGAGATCTAAGACCAGCCCACCTTCAATGCCTTTCTTATCTCCCGCTCATTTCCCTTGACTGTTAGTTGGCCAGATTCTTGTCTAGGGCTTAAGCTTGCAATAAATCTGTTTAAAGGCAGTCCTGGACTTACAAACACAATTCAACAAAGGATTTCTGCTGCTAAGTAAAACCTTTGTTACGTGACTTTTGCCACATTGTACGACTTTTTCTTGCCACTGTTGTTAAGTGAATCATAGCAACTGTGAAGCTAGTAACACGGTTGTTAAGTGAGCCTGGCCTCCCCATTTATTTTTCTCGTCAGAAGGTCGCAAAGGGGGGAATCCCATGTCCTCAGGACACTGCAACTGTCATAAATAGGAGTCAGTTGCCAAGCATTTGAATTTGGATCATGTTATCAAGGGGGATGCTGCAATGGTCATAAGTGTGAAAAAACGCTCCTTTTTTTCCAGAGCCGTTGTAACTCTGAATAGTCACTAAATGAACGATTTTGAGTAGAGGTGCCTGAATCTTCTGATTTTCCTGGCTCTTGACAGGAAGGTAAGGAGGAGCTTTTGGGGGAAATCCACAGAGTTCCAACAGAGGCTGCATTCAGAGGTCAAAGCAGGGGTTCCCCAAGACTTTTGGGGGCCAAGAGCCTGTGCTGTCCTGGGGGCCAGAGGGCTAAGGACAGAGAGATAGAATGAGACAGACAAAGCCATACTTAGACATTCGTCCTTGAATGATGGCTAAAGGTCCTGAACACAGCATGGCCTCCTGCGATGGTAGACTGCTCCTGAAGTCTGCACACTGGGCCAACGTTTCCTGCTTGTCAGAGACGAGGTTCCTGGAAAGGCAGAACAGGGTACAGTTAACCCAAGTGAGGGAAGAGACAGGCCGCCTCGCAAAATTAAAACACGTGCAAGTTGGAAGCTTAACCTGTTTCATCTCCCATCCAGCCAAATGGATGAACCTCAAAGCTCAGCCCCCTGCTTAAAACAACAGGCTGGTTAACTTCAAAAACAGATTCCCGATTTTTATTTTCAATTGTATTCTTCTAATTGACAGCAAGCCCAAGGAACTGTAGGACAAAGGGTGGCAGAACGGGAGGGCGGAGTCAAGAGCGGCATCAGCCTAGAATCCCAACATAGCCACAATTGGTTTAAAGTCCAAACTCCCCTTGAATTTCGGTCAACCCTTATCTAATTCCGAGCTGGTGCTGACCATGAGTTGAGCATAAGACACGAGTAGCAATAAAATCAAGTTTAATTGGAAGCTCACGGGTTGACCTGGTCTGTTGTGCAGGACAGGAATGGAGCCAAATAAAATGGCATCTTATTTGCCATAGGAACTTTAAAGAGTTTGTCCCGGAAACGTTAATGGAAGATCGATCCTGCTTAGCTCTTTAAAGAATCACCTCCCCCTGCACCCTTCCACCTTGGGGGCTCACCAGGAAGATAGAGAAGGATTAAAGCAATATGCTCTTCCGTCCGACATATTCATCACAGGGATGCCATGCTGAGTCAGCAAGATTTGAGAGACAGTGGTTTCACTTCCTGCGAAGGTCAAACATATCCATCAGTTTTCTTGGCAGCAGAAACATGGGGCGGGTCTTGTAGGGCTGACGGGCAGAGGACAGGTGTTCCAGCAACCCCTCCACTCCAACCAATAACTCCGAGACAGGCATCTTCCCAAAAATTCTTTTTATTTGGATAGTAAACTGGCACATCTGAAACTTCCGGGCTTCCTTGCAATAAGTAAAAACTACAAAATCCATCCCCTGCACCCCTCATCACATCACATGGCCCAATCGCCATCTGTCCCATCTTGAGACGTCCTCTCACCCAGGTGCAGAAATAACATGACCTTGACTTAGAAAAAGAATGCTATTAGGTCTAACTACATACACTCCGAGAAATTCCCCCCTCCCCCTTTCCCAGGCTCAAAATGTGGCAGCGTGGGAGCATCTGGTCTCAATCATGGCTTCCAAAGCTGTCCTTGACTCACAATTGTTCATTTTAGTGACCATATGAAGTTACAGTGGCACTGAAAAAGGCAACCTACATGCAGTCCTCGTACTTACTTCGTGATTACCACTTGCCACCATTCCAGCTGATGTCTGACTCCACGGGCGAAGCCAGATTTGCTTAATGACTATATTCTTCGCTGAACAATCACAGTGACTAGAATTTCTGCTGCCCAGGAAGAGGTGTGTAAGGAAGCCAGGCCAATTTTATGACCTTTTGGGCCATGATGGTTAAGCAAATTGCTCCAGTTGTTAAATGAGCCATGCAGTTGTTAAGCGTATCACATCGCTCTAGGGACACGCAACTGTTGTAAACAACGCAGGCTGGTTGCCAAGCACCCCAAATTTGATCACATGATCATGGGGATGCTTCTGGCAACAGCCCTAAGTCTCTTCATGCATTATCTTTAGCGAAGCGTGCAAACCAGCGTCTGCATTTCCTGCGTCGGAAGAGGAGAACACATCTCTCTCCTTCTCTCCGGGGCCACTTTTGACCGAGGCACGATTGAGAACGTTTTAACAAGCTGTATCCCTGTTTGGTTTGGTGGTAGCAGAGCGCCTGATAGAAAGTCCCTACAGAGAGTGGTGAGGACAGTGGAGAAGATCATAGGAAGCTCACTTCCTGTCATTCAGGATACTGCTTATAAGCGCTATGTACTTAGAGCTCAAAGTATTGTCAGAGACCCCACCCACCCACTTCACGGTCTGTTTCTGTTGCTCCCCTGTGGGAGGAGGTTTCAAAGTATCTATAGCAGGACTACCAGATTCTGGAACAGCTTTGTTCCCTAGGCCATCCATCTGGTAAACTCGCAAGATTCGTTTTTCTTGCCATGTACATGTATACATCCGAACTAGACTGTGAGGCTTCTCCATGTCATATACATGTGGGTATGTGGGTATATGCATAATGGTTATCCTTTAATGAATGCTAATTGGTATACATTTAAAGTGACAAAAAAGTTTTTATTCTATTCTATTTTACTCTGTTCTGTTCTGTGGGTTCTGTTCTGTTCTAAGTGCAAGGACCAGTCCTAAGTCATTTTTTTTTTGGCACTTTGAAATCTTCGAAGAGTTGCTAAACGAATGAATGTAAGTCCAGGACAAACTTTAAAGTGAATTTTGAGGGCCCTAGGTGGATTTGAATGTCATTACCTGCTAAAATGGTTTGTAGGGACTCGTCTTTCACCACCACTGACTGCTTCCGCACGTTCCTAAAAGGGGAAAAGTTGTGGAAGGGGTTAAAAAAAAGGGGTAACTCAAGTTCCACGCGACACGCGTCTTTGCAAAGGAAGATGTGAAAATATGATCTGGAGGAGGGAGAGAGAGAGAAGTTCGGTGCTTACCAAACAGAGAGGGTTGCAGCAGTTGTGAGAGCCATGATGTAAAACCCTGTACAGTGTAATGTGGAGATGGGGGAATGGAGAACGATGGGAGGGAGAAGGCGACGGCCAGACGCCGAAAACACGGAGAGGGTCCGCTTTTCACAGGCCACGCTCACCACTTCGCTGGAGGGGAGGAAAGCACAAAGAGAAATAGACATTTTGGTACTTAGGACTAGTGGCGAAGGGTCACGGGCGATGGTGAATTACGTATGCCAGAGTTGGCTTGCTGTCAGGGTTCCGGCGATCGCCCTAATTAAATCATGAGCCTCAAGCCAAGCTTCAAGAAGAACTCAAAAGATTTATCAAGAGCAACATGCCGGCATTAACCTAAATGAAACCAACACTGGCATATGTAGTTCACTATCGCCTGTGGGCCCTGTTTCCCCCGCTCCCGTTGGATGTGTCATCAATCACATTCTCCAATGAAGAATTTTCAAGGCCAGATAACCTGGCTACAATCTTTTTAAGATAATGGTGGAATGTACTTCTGGTTTTACTGCCCTACTGCTCCTCCAGATTCCCCTGGCAACTCGAAAGCAGCCATAGGAATGTTTTACGAGTTGACATCAGGCTAGAAAGAGGGAGACATGAGTTCCAGTTCCCCCTTAGGCGTAAAAGCCAGCGGAAGGAATTTCAGCCAGTCTTCCGGAGACGGTGAGTTCTAGTTCTGCCTTAGGCATGAAAGGTGGCCAGGTGACTTTGGAACAATCACCAGGAGTCACCCGGCCAGCCTTAGCCATGAAAGTTGGCTGGGGAACTTTCGGCCAATCATTAGGAGACTGGGAGTTCTAATCCCACCTTAAGGCATGAAAGCTGGCTGGATGACCTTGGGCCGGTCCCTCTCTCTCCAGCCCAGCTTGCCTTACGGGATTGTTGTTGAGGGGAAAATAGAAGGAAGGAAGGAAGGAGTACTTGTTATGTTCACCATCTTAAGTTTGTTATAAAAATAATAAAGGTGGGGATTAAAAAATCTAAAAGAAAAAGGCACATTCCTCAACTCTTCCAGCAACTATTT